GCATTATTTTGTTTAAAAAAAAAGTTCTCTCAAATAGTCTTTGTTGGGAACAAGATCACCTTTAAAACTTTAATCTATTAACTTTGACTCTTCAGATACACACAAAAAAAAAAAATCCTCAAAAAACTTTCGTAAGAGCAGCAGCAGCAGCAGCTACCATGTACTGAGCACTTTTTGGATTCCAGGAAAGTCCTGAGGCCTCAGGCCTACCATCAAACATCAAATTGTGTGATAACCTGTTCCCCATGCACAAACTAGGCCTAGAAAGCACAAGGACCTTGTTCAATAAGTAACAAGCAGAGAACCTGGATCCAGAGCTGCAGGATTCCAAAGTCCACATTGTTACATACTAAGCCACACACAGGACCAAACCTAAGACTACAGACACATTCAGCCAGTAAAGTTCAAGCTATTCCACCTAAGTACTATGGAATACAAAACAAGGGAATGAACGGGTATGAAGTCAGACAGCTGAAAATATCTGGAAAGAGTAGGTCTGAACTGGATCTCAGAGAAAGTAATGATCTTCAAGGAGGTCAAAGTGCAAGAAAAGTAGTGCAGGCTGACTGGGCAAGTGTACAGGAATACAGTATTATGCAAAACGTGGGTGCCACCCACCTCTGGTCCGCCTGTCCTATTTTAACTTTCTCTAACCACCTGCTGATCATTCTTCAAACAGGTGATCTCTTTACACTACTGCAGTGTGGCACAGGGCTGTGTCCTACACACAAATGGTTCTCACCTAACTTCTCAATGGACAAAGTACTCAGCACAAAATTCATCAAATAACCTGTGGGCACTTTCCTCTGCTCTGGGCAGTAATTCCTTTCTTTTTTGTGGTACTGGAGACTGAACCCAGGGCCATCCTATCACTGAGCTACATCCCAAGCTCTTTCCATTTTTTGAGATAGGGTCTTACTAGGTTACCCAGGCTGGTCTTAAACTTGCGATCCTCTGCCTTACTCTCCCAAGTCTCTGGTGTTACAGGTATGCACCAGTGCACATAGCCAGTTATTCCCTCTTTGCTATTTTGTATGAACCCCCCCCTCATAAGTCGCAAACTACACTGTGTTATAATTATTTCTGTACAAAACACATTCTGCCCGCAGCATGAGTCCTTCCTCTGACTTTCATGGTGCCTGGTACATACTGATTGCTCAATCGACACTTAAGTAAGGTTTACAGAAAAGCATGAAGTGCCAATCCAGTCTCCCTGTGCAGGCCTAAAGATGATTATCTCTGTCAAAGAAGCAGATGGCAGTGAGGAGCTGCGGGGCTGTTTTCTCTTGGTTGAGCACACTACGATTCACCGCCTGTCAGCTCATCTCTCCTCGGTCATTTTCCTCATCTACACATAGCTAACTGTCCCCTTCACTGTCCTCTGCACTTTCTGTAAACCTCAGCCCAGATGGCCCTCTGACCTTCCTAGCTCTGTTCTTACACCAGCAAGCCACAGGCTCCGGTCATTATCTGTCTCCTCCTCGCCACTGCTGAACTTCCTTAAAGTCTCAACATGGGAACTCTGAGCAAAGAACACATTTCCTCAGATACCTTCTGTTCTCCTCGTTAAACTCAGTAATGGCCTCGAGGTCAGAGCACTTCTGAAAGCACTTCTGAGACACTTCTCTTTCAAAGTCAATGCCATGAAATCATGGGCACACTTATTTTTTCTGAGAAGGTTTAAAATTAACAATCCTGAAGATCAGATTTCATATCCCTGATTATGCTTCTCTAACAGTCCACAAACCAACTGCTGAATTCCACCTGAAATGAACTGGCAAAATAAAACCAAAAACTGTTTAAGGCTACGATTATGCTGCCAACTGACTGTTTTTCACTACATATTCTTTGTGGCTTTGGGTGCTTCTGAGGTTGGCATATGACAAGTACATGCCTGCTCAATCACTCTTCCCTGCTCTAAATGCCCCTCTTCCAAGTTCAAAAACCCAGAACTGGCTGCAGGATACTACTCCAGGTAACTAAAAATAAATCACAAAGACCACAACTAGATGATTCTCTACTAGAGTTCAGTGTACAGACTACTCTAAAGCCAATTTCTTGAGTCTGTTTTAGTCCAGAATGCTAGAACACTAAAGTCTCAAAGTCTTTTACCCTTTGGGATCAAGAAGGTCTCGAACTTTTTCATTATAAATTTCCATGTAGGACACTTCTACTTTAAAACTCTGCTCCTCATTTTCCTCTTTCTGGGTTCGTTCAAAGAGTCCACTGCAGAGTCTTGGGATTAATCCAGGCTGGTCCACTGTGCCCATCATAGTGTAAGATTTTCCAGACCCTGCAAAAGGAAAATCAGAGTTACTACTGTCTCTGAGAAGTTTAAACATATAATAACCCTCTTTACTTTGCTCATGATAAACTGCCAGCATTTAGTAAAATGCCCAAAATACAAGAAGAAATGTATCCAAATATAATAAAAATTTTAAAAAATGCAGAAGCTTTCCCATTGCAAATGTTACTATCAAAAGGAAACATGCTTTAGAAAGGAAAAAAAAAGCCTATTTTCCTCATCTTCACATAAAAAAAAAATACCTAGAACAATTAAAAAACAGCAAGGATTGAAAAGTTTCCTCAAATAAATTGGGATAAGCCACATGATTAATACTATTATGCCTACCCCCAGCCACAAATCATAGCACTAAAAATATAGGTTCTCCACATGGCCCCAGAACAAATTAACTTACTACCCTCTGATAATAGTGCATGAACCAAGGAAAAATCCTTTTCTAATACAAAATTATTTTCTCTACTATAATAGAAATGCATGTTCATTAAATAAAATTCAGAAAACACGGGAAAATAGAAAGGAAAAAAAATAAATCACCATAGTCTCATCATCCCCAAACAGTAATAACACTCAAGTGTAACTCCTTCCTCTTTTATAGTAGAAGTGATTTTGCAAACAAACTCTTTGTTTCCTTTGTTTTTGCAGTGCTGGGAATGGAATCCAGGGCCTCACACCTCCTAGGCAAGTGCTCCACAAGCCCTGCAAACAGGCTCTCCAACCATGCTGCTGCTGTCCACTTGAGACCCCATCCTTTCATAATACCTAAAACTAAGGTATCACTTCCTACATACCAGGCAGGTCTCTTTTAAAGTGTGCATATGGTGGGGCTGGGGTGGTGGCTCAGTAGCAGAGCGCTTACCTCACACATGTGAGGCACTGGGTTCAATCTTCAGCACCACATAAAAATAAACAAAATAAAGATATTATGTCCATCTATAACTAAAAAAATTTTAAAAGTGTGTGTATGGTAATTAATTCATCACGACAACCCTACAATAAAGTTCTATCATTATCAACATTTTACAGATAAGGAAACTGTAGGGCCAAGAGTCCCAGTGGGCAGGCAGCAGGGGGAAAAATGGAGCTGGCACAGCCTGGCTTGGAGTCTCTGCTCTATGAACCATTCCACACACTGGAAGAAGAGTTTCCAGTTGGACAATAATAATGACAAGTTATATGATATATCTTATAAAAGTAACTGGTTTACTTTAAGTAGATTTTGTTTCCTTGACCACAAAGACAGAGAAGTCAAAAAGTACCTTATCAATTATAACCATATTAACATATTAACAAGTATGTTCTTTTTAGTATTTTCTCTATATTTATCCTTAGAGCCTACAATATATGGCTAGTAATATGTAGAATAGTCATAATTCTGTAATTTATTGGAAACAAACTGGACCAGTACCATGTGACAAGATTAGTAAAGAAAAAGGATACTAATCCTAATTTTATTTACTCGTTTTTAAAAAACTATATTTGATTTTAGCATCTATAGTACTTCCTAAAAAGAAAAACAACAAAAAATAAATCAACAGTATATTACTCAGTAAACATGGTTCTATTTTCTCTTCCGTTGAAAGAAATTTGCTCATGTGATCTCAATAGTATTTAACATTACCTGTCTGTCCATAGGCAAAGATGCATGCATTGTAGCCATCAAAAGCATTCTGAAGGATATTTTCTCCAAGGCACTTGAAAACATCATCTTGACCTGAGACAGGGCGAGAAGGGGTTTTTTAAGCCAAATCAAAACACAAACAAAAATCTCAACATACACCATCAGCTTATTTATCTCCAAACATGAGCTTTAAACTTGATAAATGCTTCCAAAGGCTTATGCCTGTCAAGTTATTTGTAGTTAGCACATGAGGGGAAATTAGTATAGCATTTCCTATAATACATACTTGAATTAAAAAGGAAAAAACACCAAGGAGCTCCCTTAGGGCAAAGAGCCAATGAGCCACTTATTTTACAATCAATGATCAGGAATACCTGCACTTTATATCCAGGACCTAGGAATACCTGTATTAACTATGTAGTACTCAGTCAGAACTTTTATACAATGGGTCAGGGAATTCAGAAAAATTCCATGTGCCGTTCTCCTCTTTTTCCTCAATGATAATTTCTAATTACAGGATCTACAGTTCACAACAATTAGAACAAGAAGGAAGACCCTGGAAATTTTCTTCAGCTTTCAATTATAGACTTAAGTAATATATTGAGTCAAGTTCTCTATCACAGGCCAAAAGAGATGTGTCAATAATCAATAATCAAATATGAACCTTACAAGCCATCCACCTCACTGAGTCTCAAATATAAGAGGGAGAATTGGATGCTGCTGTTGGGCAAAGGCATTCCATGATTCCATTACGCCCACTTCCTAGTTCATCTGCCAGTTAATTATCCTAGCTTGAATTTGAGGTGATCTTTAAAGTTGTCATTGGGCTGGAAGACCAAACATACTTCAACTTTTAAAACGTCCATAGTAAAAACCAATAAAATGTGATGTTCAATATTTAAAAGGGAAACGAAATATGGCAGTGCATGCTGTGGCTCCAGTTACCCAGGAGACTGAGACTAGAGGATCACTTGAACCCAGGAGTTCAAAGCCAATTTATAAAACAAAAAAGACTGTCCCAAAAAAGTAAAATATAAATTAAAAGATACTGCTTGGAAACAGGGGACAGAGCAGTTAGGAATACATGGAATTTTTTTTTTAATTTTATTGATTTTATTTTTTTAAATACATGACAGCGGAATGTGTTACAATTCTTATTACACAGAGTACAATTTTTCATATCTTTGTATATAGAGTATGTTCACACCAATTCATGCCTTTATACATGTACTTTGGTTTTTTTGCATTATAATTCTTATTACACATATATACCATAACTTTTCATATCTGTTTATATATAAAGTATGTAGACACCCAATTCAAGTCTTCATACATGTACTTTGGATAATGATGTCCATCACATTCCCCTGCCCTTGCTAATCCCCTGCCTCCTCCCTTTCCCTCCCACCCCTCTGCCCTATCTAGAATTCATCTAGTCCTCCCATGTTCCCCCTCCCTACCTGACTATGAGTCAGTCTCGTTATATCAGAGAAAACATTTGACATTTGTTTTTTGGGGGATTGGCTAACTTTACTTAGCATTATCTGCTCCAATGCCATCAATTTACCTGCAAATGCCATGATTTTATTCTCTTAATGCTGAATAAAATTCCATTGTGTATATATGCCACATTTTTTTTATCCATTCATCACTGAAGGGCATCTAGGTTGGCTCCTCAGTTTAGCTATTGTGAATTGTGCTGCTATAAACATTGATGTGACTGAAGAATACAAGGAATTTTTAAAAGGCTATCACCTTCATCTTGTGGCAAATGATGAGATAGTAATTTAGGAGAGTGATAAAATAGACTTTCAGGTCAAAAATAAAATGTGGAGGAATGTGGCACATTCCTCTCCACTACAGAGAGAAAACAGGCTCCAATGGTGCCGTGAATTACTGAACATCACAGGGGTGCAGAGGAGCAGAGCCTGGATGCTGCTCACCAGCGTGCTTCTTTCCTCCCACCAGCAGCCTCTCTAGACAACATCACTGACATCTCAGGGATACATCTACTGTGTGTTCCTGGTCCCATGTGAGACCTGGGGACATATGTGAGTCAACCTCCACTGGATACCATCATCTCAAACCAAGGACAGCAGACGGTAAATCTTTCAATTTTCCAATAAACATATAACCTCTCACAGCAAATACTGGAAGAAGCTGTCTGTTTACTTCTTCATAATGAGATTAGAGATTTTTGTTTTCTTCTTATGCTTTTATAAGTTTTCCTGATTTGTATTTTTATAATGAGAGAAAATGAAGATTTTTTAAGATAACAGTTTTAAAGTCACACACAATTACACTACAATAGTATCTGGAGAATGTACTGAAACCCCTTTTCTGCACCAGTAGTAGTGGACAGGATGCTGCATTCTGTTACCTGCATACTTTTCTCGGACAGATTCATCCATGGACCAGAAACAATGATCATAAGCAAACACCTGTTGAAAAGTGAACATAATGTGCTTGTATTAAGACCAAAGCTTTGACACTATGATGTTACAATAATGTCCTAATTTCAATGGAACTGCTCACTGTTTTTGTACAACAAAAACAACTTACTATTACACAACAGGATTAGTTATTTATATACAGTCTTACAATGACAACTACACACCCACGGGTCATCTAGCTCTATATTTCACATGGAAAACAATTCACAATGTTAAATGAAAAAACAAGTTTACAGAACAATATGAATTACATGATGGCTATCATACAAATATGTATGGTTACAAATATAAAGTTTACTTCTTCATAATGAGATTTGTGATTTTTGTTTTCTTCTTATGCTTTTATAAGTTTTCCTGATTTGTATTTTTATGAGAGAAAATGAAGATTTTTTTTAAGATAATAAAATTTAAAGATGCTCACATAGCAAGTACAAAATAGTTATACAATAGGAGATTGTTTAAATAAATTATAATGCACCCATGTTCAATATTACATAGATTTAAAGGTACAGAAGGGTTACTGACAAGAAAGTGATCATATTACTGAAAAAGTTATGGACATCTGGAATATCATTTCATATTTGTATAAAAACCTTTATGCATAAAAAGTAGGAATAATACATATTAAAATGCTATTTGGTTGGATAAAATAATTTCCATTTTGATATTTTGCCTTATCATTACTTTCTAAAACATACACATAGTTCTTTTACAAGATTTGTTTCACTAATTTTGTCTTTCATTTTTTGGATTTCTAATGGTTTTATGTCCATTCATTTGTGTTTCATAACCTAGCCTGTTTAAGGATTTTAAGGTTCGCCTTGATTCACCTCTCAAACTCCTCCGTTTGGAGTGCTGTTGTGCGTCCCTGGAGTGGCCTTTCTCCTGTGCCTCTACCTGTTAGTTTCAGGTGTGCCCTCGCTGGGAGTGTCTGTTACAGTTTACACACTGCTGTCTTTTTCCTCTACTAAAGGTCCCTTCCCGTGGCCAGTTCATGTCACCATTTCTGCTATGGAAGCTCAGACTTCGGTCCTCCCAAGACCAGATGTCTCCACTCCCTCCTATCAACATGGGCATTGGCTCAATGTTGATGGCCGGCACTTTCTCAGCTTTTTTAAGCCTTCAATCACAGAGGAGCCTCTCCCAAATCAGTATTTGCACAGTGAACCTGACTCGGTCCTCCACCACACGCCAGGGCCCCACTGATTGGCAAGCGCTGACTTCAGTCAGGTGAGGGCCTGTGTGATTCCAAAGCCCAGAACACTGCCTTGGCTCCAGCTTACTGCTAGTTCTGAAGTTACACGTGCTGTTTGTGAGTCTGACGACACAATTCTAATATTTTAAAATATTTTATCTGTTCCTGCTACACATTTTAGAGCTGGTAGGAACAGACTTTCTGTGTAACCTCACAAGGCTATGTGGACCAGATACCTAAAAGTCAAATTTTTTAAGAAGTTAGATTAATACCAAAAATTGAGTATGCCTGCAAATATCCTGCCCCACTACAACCTAAAATCAACTCAAAATAAACAGGGAGGGAGTGGGAGAAAGGGCCCAAAGGGAGAAAAATGAGAAAAGGAGTCCAAGGTTTGGAAAGCCAGACCGATGCTTGTTCCTGGATCAGAAATGGGGAGCGGGGAAACTGCCATGAGACTGTCAGGGGGAGGGTGGGGATGAGGCCACCAGAAAACCAGGTTCAAAAAGAAAATGCAACAGAGGGAGGTGCCACCAAAGACATGGGTAGTCCTGCGAAGACCCGGGGGTCCAAACAAAATGGTAGGAGAGATAGGAGCATCACTCAAGAGAGTGACAGGTTAAACACCGCTGAACAAGCAGGGATCAGAACACCCAGGTCTTTGCGTGATAGCAGGCAGGTGAGGCGTGTGCCTCTAGGTGGGCAGAGGTGGCTGGGGATGCCAGAGAAGAAACATGGCTGAACCCCCAAGAAGAGGCCGGAAAGCTGGTGCCTGGAAGATCCCCACCAGGCCACAGTGTCACGGCACCTGTTGCCAACTCTGCCCTTTTCCTAAGGCTAAGCAGATGTCCTTCTCGTGGTTGTATCTATGTTAGCTATCCTGAAACAGAAGAGGAGCAAGAGGAAGACAGTCCCAAGGGACTGTGCATAAAAAGGTCCAGTGGGGGCTGCTGTCAAACTCCATTTGTCACCCACAATGAGAATCATCTCACAGGTACGATTAAATACAGTGTGATGCTCAAATTAACTTTCTCCTGTTCTTGCTTTCAACTCTCATCCCTTGCAATTTTAATTCTGTTATTGCAAGCTTAACTCTCTCTTCAGAAGTCCCATGTACATTTACCAGGGCTCAGATCCTCCAGGGCACTCCCCTCTGAACCCATCATTACTGGGTGTCTCCCTTACTTTTCGATTACAGATTTCTTGTTTTATTTTTATTTTATTTTATTTTTTTTTTTTGCTCTTTTTAGTTATACATGACAGTTGAATGTACTTTGACATATCATACATACATGGAGTGTAACTTCTCATTCTTGTGGTTAGAGATTTCTTTAACCACTTCATTTCTTACTCCCAATTCCAATAGAGAAGCCATCACTAAAGTCCCCACAGCAATACCTGAGACAGTGTGCAGGCCCTGTTCAAAGCAAACAAGGACAAAGGAGGCAAGCTGTAGCTGCCAGTAGACTGGCTCAAAAGTCCCTACCTCACACCACCAGGCTAGCCTAGGGTCGCCCCTGACCTGCCAGGGACAGGCTCCACACCACCCAGGTAGGCCTGAGCTTCAGGAAGTATCCAACTCTAGACACACTATGCTTTTCATGAACGGACAGACCTAAATAAAGTTTAACTTATAAAGTAGGCACAGAAGAGATGAACAGTGATTAATAATAAAATAAAACTACTATGACAATATACTGCAATCAAAGTTATATTATTGGGGTGTCTCTGTTTCTCTTCTCTCTAAATATCTACTTCAATCTGCCAGAGTTTGCCCGGGGTAACTGAAATCACAGAAAGAAAAATTGCAGACCAGTGGGGACTACTGTTATGGAAGGGCCACAGCTGGCACAAAGTTGGGGACCAATAAGCACCAAGTTCTTATTTACTAACAACACTAAACAATCCTTTTAAATTTTAGTAATTTTGTAATTATGGCTATCGTCCATAAAATAGACAAGTCCTTCTCTTTCTAAACAAACATTGTTCTTTTAAATTAAAAAAATGTTTTTCAATTAATAGAGAAGAAATAAACGTTTTCAGTAATAAGTTCAAATAACACCAAAGCATAAAGTAAAAAATAAAGGTCTCCCCATTTGCCAAGTACACCTCCTCTAGAAATAAATGCTGTGTTGACAATGTGGGTTTTTTTAGCCCACACATTTTCATAAACTCTGAGACACAGTTGAATTAAATAAAACATGGACAGTTTTTAAATAGTCAAGAAACGTATTCCTCACATTTACTACAATCTCCAATCTCTGCTCTAACAAAATATAAAACAAAAATAACTCAGTACCCTCTACATAGGAAAGATGAGTAGGGCTTTACAAACATACAACCAGGGCCAGGTTCAACTATTTATTTAAGTCATCTGGAGTTTCAAACAACATGTCTATACATACTTTAGCAACCATAACAGAATGGAATTAGAATTCAACCACAGGCTCTAAAACAACAACAAATCCCAAGAATGTAGATCAGACTGAATTTCCTGGAAGTTTCAAGTAACTTCAGAGGATGGTCAACTTAAAAACATAGTACTTGTGCCACCTCAGCACATCTCTAAGTCCCCCGGATGGCAGTAACTGACGTGAAACACACATACACACACAGCAAGAGTGCCTTAGAATCCAAGCTCAGATCCGGGACCTGAGCCGTGCCCTTGAGGAAGCTGGGGACCCGGGGGTTTCTGCTGGCCTGGCAATGCCTTCCCAGCCGGCTTAGATGCCAAGGGGATGAGTTGGCTCAGCACTGCATGACCAAGGTTTGGAACCATCCGTTCTCGCCAATCTGTGACACACAAGGAACCCGTGTGGCAGCTATGAGGAGACTGGGTGGCTCTCAGGGTGCAAACACTTTTCACAACCCCCACCACCACCACACACCAATAAGGCTTCAGGCTGTGAGAGGCTGGTGGCCTGTACTGCTTCAATAAACCGAAAAGGCCCATGTTTTCAGTTTGAGAAGAAAACCTGCAGTATTTCAAGACTCTGCACATAAGACCTTCATAAGCACCACACAATGAGCCAAATGTCTTACCTTTGGCTGGCTCCTAGTTCCCCAAAGAAACGCCACCGTTGACATGGAAAAAAAAAAAAAGGAAAAAGGGTAAAAAAAAAAAATTAGCTCACAAAACTCTTTTTGGAAGGTAAAATAATAACAAACATGATATAAATTTGCAATAAGAAAACAAAATATTACCTTTGAAACCAAACAATAACGTGAAGGTAAATGAGTGTCAATTAGCTATTTAGGAGGGATGCTAATTCAGAAGATTAGCTTGGGGAAGAAAGACTGTCTCAACACCGGATAATTCAAAAGCACTCATCTTTTGCATTTCTGCTTATCCTGTTGTGTATTTCTTTTTAAAACTTTATTATTTTCTCTACTTTGGCAAAGCACAAGTTTACTCTCTCAACTGTCAGGTCCTTCTACAAAAAACGAGTTCTGTTCTGGCTAAGGAAAGAAGGTTAAAGGTCACTAATGTCTTGCCAGTGAGTTACTTTTGCGGAATTCCATACTACCTACTCCTTTTTAGTCCTCAGACAGTTCTACTCTCCCCTCTCTCCCTCCCTCTGAAACTGCCCCTGGCTTACATCTCCCCAAGGTACAGTGTGTAAATCCAACAAATAAGGAGACAGTTTCAAACTGAGAAAACTTGTGAGAAAGCAGAGAGAACTTCCATGGACTCCTCACCCAAATTTGCCTCCTGCTGAGGCTGTGAGGACACCACTCATCCTTCCCCTCCCTCCAAAGAGATAAAAACACACACGCACACATTTTATTTCTGAACCACTTGACAGTAAGTTGCAGACATGACCTTCAGCCCTAAACACTTCAGTGTGCGATTCCTAAAAACAATGGCCACTTACTTAATCCTAGCCCAATATCCAAATCTTTAGACAATTTAGGAATAAAGCAAAATATTTTTGATACTAGAGTATGACAGGAATAGTAATAATTTGTCCTATGCAGAGGATCAAAATTTTGAAACCTGAAAGCAAACTGCACATGCTTAAATGTCTCCTTCCAACAGTCTGCGCACCTCCTTGTCCCTCTGTCTCATAAGATTTCCTTCCAAAATTATTTGTACTCATGATTCCGGTAAGAACACTAAAACACCACAGCAAGACTAGCAAACAAAAGTGACATGCGTTTGACAGATCTGGGAGTGATATCCAATGTGGCTGACATATAAAAGAAAATAATTTCTCTGGAAAGAGATACAGAGAAGCTTCCTGACAAAAAGAGTTATGAAATATGAGTAGAGGTTACTGACACGTGCTATCATCTCTGTACACATCTTAGAAGCAAAGCAGTTCCTCTTCCACTGTGGACAGCCTAAAACCCAGCCGCAGGTAAGAAGAGAGCCCCAGGTCTGGAACACCAGGGCGGGCCTGCACGTGCTGACTCACAGCTTCATTCAGTCCTCAGGACTGGGCAAGGTGTCACTGTGAGTCCAGTGTTACAGTTGACAAGCACACTAATGAGCAGCCATGGATCTGGTGCAAAACAAGGTCTCTGATGCCCAAGTCCATGGTCTTGCCCTGCCCACACTGGTCAAGACAACCTGGACTTGAGAACCTGAGTCACACATTAACAACTGCTCCTGCTATCAGAAACATTTCTCAGCATATTAATTTCCTTCATTTTAATTATTACCCAATACAAGGCTGTCACTTGGTACTGAGGCCAGTGTGCATTTGCTACTCACTATTGTGTATGAAAATGCCACACTGACTTTTCTGAGAACTAAAGAAGATATTTAGTATATTTCAAGCTTAAATCAAACATTTTAATATTTTAAAAAATAGCTCTCCCTAAAATACAAGAAACAACTACGGAATTCAACAATATATGACACACTGTAGAAAAATCAATGGGACTAACCTGAATTCAGGACAGCATAACATGTAAATTAATTACAGGGCTAAGTTTCCAAGTAGGATTCTGGTAGCTACAACAGTAAAGCTCAAATAACCCAGAAAGCCATGGGACACCCAAAGATGTAATTATAGCTCTGTGTACAAATAAATAAGTAAATTAATCAATTAAACAAAACCTTTCAAAGTGTAGTTGCAATTCGATACAGCCATGCCTCATTGATCCCAGGATCCCATATTTAGAAACCTCAGCTATCCTGATCACTATGGAGATTCAGGAAGCAAAGAAAACCAGCTCCTGACCAAATAAAAGAGATGTTGCAAACTGTGAGCGCCCCAGCCTTCATCGTTCAGCTGAGCCCAATTACTTTTGTTATTGCTTAACTTCATTTTGAAATATTTTCAGATTAAAAGTTCCAAAAATAGTGCAAAGAATTCCTGCACACCCTTTACCAAGGCACCCCAAATGTCATGTCTTCTATCATCAGTTACAATGACTGAAATGTGGAAGATAACCATTAACACCCCATTTATCCAAGCCTTGCCAACTGCCTGCATTAATATCCTTTTTTCTTTATATATACAAATTTTAATGTGTTTTTTTTTCCTGGTCCAAGATTACCAACTGCATGTAGTTGCCATTCTCCTCCAGTCAGGGTTATGGACACTTGAAGGTACCAGACACTTGTTTTATAGATTATTCACTCAGTGTCATAGACTGGGTTTGTCTAGTGCTTCCTTGTTACTAAATTCAGGTTGTGCACCTTGGCAAGCACAATACAAGTAACTGACGGCCAGCACAGTGCTCCCTATGAAGCAGCAAATGACACCCATGTCTCATTACTGACCAGGTTAATTCCCCTCACTTAATCAGGGCTGTGACTACCAGGTCTCCCCCTGGTAACACAGCTGGTTTTCTTTGCTTCCTGAATCTCCATAGTGATCAGGATAGCTGAGGTTTCTAAATAATTTTCTCCCTTTGTAATTTATACACATCTTGTGGGAAAAGACTTTAAGACTGTGTAACTAAACACCAGTATCTCACCAGATTTTCACCTGAAACTTTTAACATCCACTTAGGATTTGTACCTGCAACGGCAACTATCCCTGATGATACCTGCCTATCAGAGTGATGAACATGTTAACAGCACAGGAGGACTGACCTGGAGGATGTGCTTTGATGGAAGAGGACACAGCAGATGACCTGGCTGCATATTCTGGACAGGAGCTGTTACCTGGGAATAAGCTACTCTCTCATTGCTTTTTCCTAACCTGGTGCTTACTTCTCATTCAAATAATAACCCACATCATAAAAATAAGTCAAATTATGTTCCTAATCTCTAGAATGCCAAACTATGAAGAAGAAATTTAGTGATGACTTTATACAAGTTGATGATCTTTAGAAACATGTTATTCATGTTTCTGACTATGGAAAAAATAAAGCTGTCTAAAAATAAAACACAGTGCCACGTATGAATAAAACAAAATAATGTCAGTAGAATGAAGCAATGTAAATCAACAATTGCTGTCAACTATTGAAATCAAACATTGAATCTAAATACTACCATCATTTCATTTAATTCTAAAGATTTAAGTTGCTGAAATTTTCACAATTAGAAATATTTGGAATGCTGTTATAACAACATTCCACTCTAACCATCTCTTTTTAAAAAAGGATGTGCATTACAAAGAGCTCATTCTAACACAGTCATACTATGTAATGACATTGTTCTTTTTCAGACTTAGCTGGCAGTACCAGCAACCAAACAACAATCTGTGTGTTCATTATTCTTCCTGTCACCCCCTCCCTATGTGCCTTCCACATAAGGAATAAAGCTGACCTGACTTAAAACTTTAGGCAGGTCATCATGGAAGCCTCTCAATCTCTGCTTCTTGAGACAACTCTCAGTCAGAAGTCACTATACAACCATCACTGAAAGACTATCCACTCTTTCCTCAACATCTAGAACATGCCATTCGGTTTTGAGGAATAAATGGTAGCAACATTCTATTAGAATTCAGTAGAACCCACTGGGGAAAACAGTTTCAAGAATCAGGTCCTCAATAGTGGAATTATTTTAGGAGAGCAGAAAAACACAGCATGAGGATGATCAGGAACGAGAAACAGTACTGGATCACTGTGACTCTTCCTATTTACAATGAAATGAAGAATGACCACTTAACAAGTTTTACTGTGACCTCAGGAGGAGCAGAGGTACCCGGGACACAGCTGCAGCATCATTTCCCCGACATACACACAGAAGATTCCCGGGCTCCAGGCACCTTATCACATCCTGTATTCCACACATCTACACTCAGATGAGGCCGTGCCCCCACTCACATCATCATGCAGAAGGAAAGCTCCTATCAAAATCTCCCTGAAGAACCTTTCCCGAAGGACCCTCCCTGATTCCTACAGCCAAAGCTCCCTCCACAGCACGCCCCACGACACAGACTCTTCCTACGGGACATCTAAGCTAGACTGCGAGCCCTGCAGGGCAGTGCTTTTCACTTATCAGAGTCCAGCAAAGGTTTCTGGCTGCTCAGCAGACAGTCCTCGACTCTTTAGGGGACCTGGTCTGGGCCTATGTCTCCAACCAAGCCTCGCATCAGTTTCCCCCCCACACAGGCCTTCTTCTTGGCAGAATGTACCTGTTTCCCGGCTTCCATGCAGGACTTTCCTTCCACCTTGAACTCCTGAGGCCAACTCCTATTATTTTTCACTCCTCAACTTTCTTATTATTTCCAAACCTCTCTTATGTTACTCTCACAGTATTATGTGCAAAATAAAACCATTTTACCACCACCCATCCTTTCCCAAACACCCCAAAACCATAAGAAAATAAGAAACAAACTCTATATTCAATGAAACAGAAATATTTATAACTAAAGAACATGAAAAAGACAGAAAATGCATGTATAAAACACACATAAAAAGTTTAAAAATCAAAAATGAAGGATGAAGAAAAAGGAAACTAAAATATGGGATGCTGTTTTAAATCAGTAAGTTAAATCCCACCTACCTCCTAGCCCCCTCGAAACACTCAGGCCACTATCTCTCACAGACAATCCTTGGACAGACTTTTTTAAAACAAGATAGTTTGAAAACCCTCTTCTTCTGGAACCTTCCACCCACACAAACCACAAGTGTTTCAGAACAGAAGGACAC